GAGAAATGGGGAGGATGGCGAGGTAGATTTTCTTACCCTGCGCCTGCGGTAAACCTTTGTACAGGGTGGTTCAAGGAGGCGCATGCGCCCGGGCTCTTTAAATTGACCGCAAAATTCGGTTTCTCAACCTATAGCGCTACGACTTTGTGCAGCGTTGCCAACAGATGTTTTTTTTTTTTTGTAAAATTAGCAAAGAGCGAATTTACTTGAGGAAAACGTAAACAAGGAAAAAGGCTTAGCTCCTATGGAAACGCAGCGGCGCCACCGGTCTTCAAACAGCACGGCACCGTTTCGCGCGGGAGACAAGAAATGGCGCACCGGCGTCTTTAGCAGACAAGGAACTGCAGTTCCTTGTAGGAGAAGCGCTAAAGTAGACTCACTCACCCTCACACTCACACTCACACTCACTCCATAAAAACGGTCACTCACGTCGCGCTGACGTTCAACTCAAATTGTATTTTCGTCTTCTTTCGTTTTGCTTTTACCCGTATTAAATTTGTCTTCTCACTTCGCTCTCTTCTGTACAAAACAATTAGCAATGTCTATCGCACATTACCTACGAGAATCAAGATATAACAATTCTTTTTCCGTCAGCGTTATGGATAGACAACTAACACAGGTGTCACTTCTTTTTATGATGTTGGCGGCCTCTATTATCTCACGTGTTAACTGATGATGGTTCTTTCCGATTATGGTGCTATTTTTGAAGTCCGCGGCGCACCCACAGTCACGGCAGTGAATGCCCAAAAGTCCTGAGTTTGCTAATTGGGTGTTGTTGTTGTGTTCCCTTAATCTGTCGTTAATACATCTTCCAGTTTCTCCTATTTACTGTTTGCCGCATGAGAGGGCGAAGGAATAAATCACTCCTTCTGAGCAAGGTATGTATGGGGTTCTATGCTGGTTTGTGCAGACGGTATTAGTTTTTGGTATGGCGTTAACTTTTTTACATAGGCCTGATAGTTTGATGGGGGCGGAAAAGACTACATCGATATTTGCGCGATTCCCAATCTTCTTCAGGTTACGAGAAACGTTATGAATGTACGGGATGACTACCGGTCTCTGGTTACTGAATCTTTCGCATGGCTTGCGGGATGTGATTTGACCTTTTTTAATCTGTTTAATCCCGCTTTTAGTATCCTAGATACTTGTCCTGTGAAGCTTGTTAGGCCTGAATGCGGGCAGGACTTGAAAATAGAGTTTTTGAAGCACTGATTAACTATGCCTCTCTTTACCAATTTAGAATGCACCGAATTATAATTGAGGAGTGGTTTTTTCCCTCTTGGCTCATACGACCAACAGACATGACGGGGCTGAAAAGAGAATCTTAGGTCCAGAAATCTTAAGGATCCTAGCTCTGGAAGCTCGTGAGTAATCGCCAAAGGGTTTAAGCATGTTTTAAGCTTTCGCAAGCCAGCGAAAGATTAAGTAACCAGAGACCGGTAGTCATCCCCTAGATTCATAACATTTCTCATTACCTGAAGAAGATTGGGAATCGCGCAAATATCGATGTAGTCTTTTCCGCCTCCATCAAACTATCAGGCCTATGTAAAAAAGTTAACGCCATACCAAAAACTAATACCGTCTGCACAAAACAGCATAGAACCCCTACATACCTTGCTCAGAAGGAGTGATTTATTCCTTCGCCCTCTCATGTGGCAAACAGTACATACGACAAACTGGAAGATGTATTAACGACAGATTAAGGGAACACAACAGCAACACCCGATTAGCAAACTCAGGACTTTTGGGCATTCACTGCCGTGACTGTAGGTGCGCCGCAGACTTCAAGAATAGCACCATAATCCGAAAGAACCATCATCAGTTAACACGTGAGGTAATAGAGGCCGCCAACATCATAAAAAGGAGTGACACCTGTGTTAGTAGTCCATCCATAACGCTGACGGAAAAATAATTGTTATATCTTGATTCTCGTAGGTAATGTGCGATAGACATTGCTAATAGTTTTGTACAGAAGAGAACGAAGTGAGAAGACAAATTTAACACGGGTAAAAAAAAAAAAAACGAAAGAAGACGAAAATACAATTTGAGTTGAAAGTCAGCGCGACGTGAGTGACCGTTTTTCTGGTGTGAGTGTGAGTGTGATGGTGAGTGAGTCTACTTTAGCGCTTCTCCTACAATGAATATCCAACTCGCCCAAGCATTCATTCTAAGAATGCAGTTCCTTGTTGTTACCGCGCCTGATGTTGTTTCTGCAACTGTCGCCGCCTGCGGTACGCGCGCCGCTTTTGAGTCGAAAAGATCGTCTGCTAAAGACGCCGGCTCTCGGCGCCGTGTGCGCAATCGTTGGCGGCGTTCGTTGCGCCATCTCTTGTCTCCCTTGCGAAACGGCGCCGTGTTGTTTGAAGACCGGTGGCGTCGCTGCATTTCCATAGAAGCTAAGCCTTTTTCTTTCTTTATTTTTTCCTCAGGTAAATTCGCTCGTTGCAATTTTTACAAAAAAAAAAAAAAAAATGCACCATCTGTGGGCAACACTGCACAAAGTCGTAGCGCGATAGGTTAAGAAATCAAATTTTGCGGACAATTTAAAAGGCCTGGCGTCGGGGCGGGGGTGGGGGGGGGGGGGGGGGTAACTTGAGGTGTATTACTAAATTCACGATTCACATCGATATCGAAATTGTCTAAAATGCAATATCGAAGGATGCTTCGTACTTTAGTGTCTCGAAATTTCTATTAGTTTAAAAGAATTCGTTTTATTGCAGGATGAAGTAATGTCATTTTAAACATTGTTTTGTTATTCTGAAATATAGTTTCAATGTACAGTTTGTTGTTAGCTTTTTAATTTATTATACCTAACCGACGGTTCACGAAAATTATCGTGGACTTTGGGACGTAATTTCTATCCTGTGGAGCTTTCGGTCTACACAAAAGGGGAAAAATACAAAACACGCAAAACAAGAAATTCACTCATGCACTCACTGCGTAAAGCGATCGCAGGTAGATTTTAGCTACCAAGCATTGCATTAACTGAAAGTGTTCCTTCAACATATTAAATTAAAATTTAAAATATTTTTGAACGACCTTTTTTTAAATTAGTTATGGTAAAGCTTCTTGGGCACTCCTTTAAAACAACAAAAACAAATGAAATCTGCAGTTACTTCACTTACTGTGTTCATTTATATCCAGGCACACTCACTAGTAATATATGGAGCAGATAAAATGTGCATCTATTCTTTTAATGCATAGAAATCGACGCACTAACGCCGAACATACAGGAGTGACCTGATCTGTAATAATTATTCAAACTGAGCTTGAGTCCTGTAAATTAATGGTGTCCTAATAGTTAAATTTTAACTCCAACTGTGTTTGAATCGTATAATGTTGAAGAATGGCCATACTCTGGAATGTAAAATTGAATATTAATACCAGTAATTTTATTCTAAATATTTCGTAGACTAAACAAAAAACCGCATATTTCAGAAAAAAAAAAATCTACCTGTTTATTCTCCCGCAGGGCACGCGGATTGAACACAGGCCAGCACGAATAAAAACGACGTTGACGAAAGCTAGCCAATTGGATGAATGGACGAACGTGGCTGAACCGTTTCAATAGAGCGACATCTCTTCGTACCTAGCCCTGGCATTTCGCTCGAAGCCGCGATAAGAAATTGTTAGCGGAAGAAGCCAGTTCGATTATTGTTGTTATCAGTGTTTTTATGCTGGTTTCTTATATTATGGGCATAATAACCGAGAAGGTTGTCTATAGCAAACAGAGCTGGATGCAGGCAACATTATTAGATTAGCTCAGTTACGGAACTGCTCCTAGACGCTGCATGCACGAGCAGTACCCCCCCCCCCCCCCCTCACTCACCACGACTCGCCCGGTGTCGCTCGACGCGCCGCCGAACGGCTGCTTCGGTAACTGAATCGGGATACGTACGTTTCAACGTTAATAGAAACGTAAAGATCAACGGAAAAAAACTCTTTTTTTTTGTAGTAACTTTTATTGGAGTTTAGTACAAAATGAGGGGCGCGTAATGTTTTCTAAAACCTTTAGTTTGCAAGGTTTTGCAGTACAATTAATATTGTTTTTATACAACCATGCCTCAGCGGTGATTTCAGGTAGCGCGTCCCGACCTAGGCGCATCTTAACTTCGGTGGTATACCGCGGCGCGTCCGCTGGGAAGTCGAGGGTGACACCCCTGTAACCCTTTCCACCGTATCTGTTTTGGCTCCGAAATGGCCGATTGAAGCCAACATGGTTGTTACGTGCAGTTCTTCGAGTGACCGCTGCGGGAGAAATGGCGGTGTTGTGATCGCCATTTGTCGCTTCAGCTGTGCTCTTTGGAACACACAGTTATGAAACGAAAATATAGATGGCGTTTCAAACGACGGTTGGCGGATTGAAGTGAGTGAAGGGGAGGTACCCCCCCCCCCCCCCCTCCGCGGGGTTCCACAACTGAGGTAATCTAGTAACGTTAGATGCAGGTGACGCAGCATCCCTGAATTCAGAATATAGACGCACGCGGTTTTCGGAGTTTTGTCGAGCGCACCCGAGAAGCTAAGATCATTACAGCTTTGATTACTAAACACGAAAGCGAAGTAATTTCTACAGAAATTGTTTGCCATCAAAAGGTGATGAATCCAGGCTTGATTTAGATCCAACACTGCTGTGGGTGATGACTATATTTTACCACATGAAGAGCGCTCCTGAATAAACCAGAATTATTGTCAAGAGTACTAACATTTGATATAACGAATTATTCAAGAGCTCAAGTATTAGAAATGTGAAATTGAAATTGAATAATTGTGGCGCATTATTCGACTCGTATTCAAAACTAGAATATTCACACCTTCCTACTGTAAATATTTCTCCTGCTATTTTTTTAAATAAGGACAAAACGAAGTTGATGCTTTCTGCTGCTTTTATTTCATTTCATCCTACGCATAGAAAGAACCGCATGAAACAATGACATAATTACTCTGGAGTCAGCACGGGCACGAACGTGCCCACCACACCTGAGACATTCATGAGCACACAATTATTGACTCGGTGTAGGCTCCTCAATTTGTGCTTTACATGCGTCCTTATCGTACATCATAAACTGTGGATCTCCACATGCTGCTATGAAGGCTAAGCGGCAGGCTCTGGGGAGGCTTTTAAATACTGCTGCTGCAAACTTTTTTGCCTTATTTCTTTTTTCCTCATCGTTGTTAATCTCCTTATTGCCTTTACTTTCATTGCCATTACGTCCTTCAGCATTTCTTTCTTTCGGTGCTGTTGCATCAATATACTGTGTTAAATTGTCGGCGCTTTGCAGAACATCTGCCAACACTGATTGGTTTAGCCAGAGGTCGCATCCTGAAAAAAAAAGTGCGGGGATTTTTCATTGTAATTCTTCAAATTCTTATTTTGGATGTACATATAAAAACATTTCCGATCCGCATATATCATCTGCCCTATGTCCTGTTTTGCCACCTTGCGGTCAGAAACAGAGGCATTTCGTGTGCTGTTTCTCACGGACGGCGTCCTCTCATGGGCGAAAACAGTTTTTACTTCTTAGTTAGTATTCCGGTAATGGTAAGTGGTTGACATTCTTTCATCTTGCTCGAACGGCTGGGGCTACGTTTTGACGGAGTTGAGCTCCCCGCAATGTCTAGTTTATTTCTGAGTTGCGAAAAGTTGTGTAGGGATTTCTCACAAAAACCCGGTATTCCTAGACCCTGCTAGTCTCCGTGCTCCTCCGGGCACTTCTGAAGGAAATAGAGCTTCCTGTACTACCCCGAGTTTCTTCGGGCTGTGATGGGCAGGTCTGAGTCAGCCTATAGTCAGCACGGCTCTTTCTGCCAGATATATTTTCAACGCACGCCGAACAAATCGACACGTAGATGTTCAACATTTCATTACAAAGCAGAGTATTCCTGCAGTCGGTACCTCCTGAATTGTGAGCTCAACTTTAATGGCAGTGGTGCACAGGTGCAGCCCAGCAAGCACCGCTTCTTTGTACCCCTTTTCTACCGTTACACAACAACAATAAAAACTGTCTTGCCTGTTGTCGTTCGAGGTTTAGAACACTTTTTACTGCTCTTGTTTGCTTCGGGACAATGTAGTTGAACACATTCTACTTCCTTATTTAAGAAGTAGTTAAGGTTCTATCAGTGTGTCGAACCGAAAAAAATACGGGTTCGGTTATGGTTCAGGTTCAGGTAAATTTATTTTGTTCCGGTTCAGTTCCGGTTCGATTAATTCGATCCGCGAACCGGTTCGCGAACCGGTTCGGGGCGTTGAACCGGTTCGCGAACCGGTTCAGAAATTATAAATGACAAATTGCAACATCAAAATAAATTACGAATAAAACATCTGAAATCAGCACATCCGAAACGGGATACATCGTAGTGTAAGGCTCAGGGATTTCTACCAGAACTGGTTTCTTTATGTGCACTCAAAGGTTACCTCACCGACGTTTACGCATTCGGACTTCATCTAATTGGGTCGGACGCAGTAGCTGTAAAATCCGCGACCTCATTACAAACCCACTTACAAGTAGAACTCGCTAACTATCTCGCAACCTCGGCGTGTAAGCAATTGAAGGAACAGTGGGGAGAATATACAGCTTTCTTTATTTGAACTAGCCTTCGGTAACTCAAATTAGACCCTTAAAGAAGTTTTCATTAAACAAGATACGGAATATGAAAAACACTTCACCGAACGCAACGCCAGAAGGACGTAATAGGATAAATATTAAAATAGAAGAGTTCGCTGTCTCACAAATATGTTAGCTTCTAAGTGCCTATACGAAACCGGATGCATTATTATCAAACTCCACAGCCTTTTCTTTTCTCATTCCGATGGAAGCAAGCTTCAAGAACTCGCACGTTCTAGAAATGTGTTATGAAATGAGCACACAGCAGCATTTAGGATTTACAAGATTGTAGAAAAATAAAATTACGTGACGCGATTTTTTTTTTTCTTGCACAGCATTTTAATTTTTTTTCCTCCGTGCAAGCCGCGACCAGCGCAATACTGGTTCCTATGCCAAGATTCATGGATGCAGCGTTTGTCAAGATTCATGGATGCAGCGTTTATATTCCTAAGACTGAGTGGAGAAGAAAAATATGTAAGCGAGGTGTGTGTCAGTTGACGGCACTTAAAAAACAAATGGCATTGATAGCACATTCATTGTCAACAGCGCGTGGCCGAACCGTTTTGACATGAGCCGGTAACCGTTATTTTTTTCCGGTTGAGTTCCGGTTCGGGTTCATTGCGATAACAGTATAACGGTTCGGGTTCGGGTTCAGTTCCGGAAAAAATACCGGTTCGGTTCGGTTCCGGTTCGACACCCTGGGTTCTATAGAATAAACTCGAAACAAAGTAGCTTAACAATGACGGCTGCCTCCTGGTATAAAAAAACCCATAAATAAATCGTACTGGTTCAATAATATAAGGGCAGGAGAGCGACAGAGAACAGTATATGGTGGAGCCGGGATTCGAACGCCGAATTTTTTGGTGATCAATGAGATGAGGAGACCCGGAAAGTCTCGTCGCCCTGAAAAGTCGATAACCTTTTTAACATTTTTTTTTTTTTTGTTTTTACAAAAATTTGTATTATATAATGTTTTTATGCTCTAAACTGCTTGGGGTTTGACTTTTTGGCTATTTAGACTATCGGAATCGTTATTACGAAAGCATGAAATGCTGTTTAACGCTGCCCCAATCCCATAATTTTGTCCCTCCGTCCATGCGTGCGTTTCACCCTAAATTCGGTAGGGTCACTGATTTGGTGTTTAAGTCACGTGGCGTAAATCGATGTCACCTATAGACCTTTTCATTTTAGTAGTTGCCTCACCGGCGGATAGAGGGCGCTGACGTACTCGGCGGCATTAGGTTGCTTCACTTTGATTGGTTTCGGTTTCAACGTGAACGCGCCTATGTTGCTGTTTTACGTTGTTTTTGCTTAATTTTGTGATACGAATATTTTCCTTGTAGCACACAACCAATGAAACAGCGGTATTGAACCACTTTGAAGACTACGAGGTGTATTTTAGCCTAAATTTCGGGCTTCTTTTTTTTTTTACCAACTCCTTTGATGCATCTGATTATGGTCGGTTGCGAAACGCCTGACTGATGTACAGGAGAGATTAGCATCATCTACGGCCGTACCCGATGACACCAATTTCTAGAAGAACAAACTATTGAAGAAACTAACACGTGAACGTAAAGAAACATATCGACAGTTTGATTAGCAATGTGCTGAATCGGCCAGAACAGATGAACTCGCGAGTTTACTACACACTGTTTGGCTTTCGTGGGCACCCAACCTTTAATGCAATTCGCAGACTAAAAACGTATCGTGTAATGAGGCGGATAATTGATATAAACAAGTAGTATCGTCTCGACCTCCTTTATTATTATTATTATTCAGTACTCGAGCATGGTTTGACAGGCCGAGTAGGGACTTTCTTAAATTATCAACCCTGATAAAGTATTCATAAGCAGCATTTCGCGATATTGGCCCTAGAAAATACATTATTTTTATATGAAAATTTGCTTACTCAAGATATGATATAAGTGACAGGCCCGTCAAATTAAACCTAGCATTTATCTTCCGTAAAATTTGCCATATAAAATTAAAGGGCGCAGGAGAAGAAATACCTCGGAAAGTTTGCCTGAATCCTAGCGCTAGGCACCACTTCACGGACCTGCGTGAACAAACATTTATTTGTTTGTACATATTCGGTTTGTAAATTTCGGCGTCGCCAGCCACCAAAAGTAAATCTCTATTCGCCATCGACAATCCTGGACTCAAGTAATTGTTATGCAGACAACCAATGTTTTTTTGTTTTTTTCAGAGTTACATATTGCGGATTTCAGATACTGGCGAAAGGTAAAACAGCATTATAGCGCATGCGCCGAACCCAAACCGCGTTTTAGATTTGCAAATATAAATGACGTTATTTCTTCGTGCACGCTATTCTAAAACTCGTTACTGTTAAGTTGAGTGTGGCAGTTTCTTACGCGGAAACTCCCACCCTTTGCGTAAAATAAACAAAGTGGGTGGCACTGGTTATCTGAATATAATCAATAAATCGCTTAAATTACTGTCGAAATGGGAGCGAGCATGGTATACAATTTCTTAAACTTCATAAGTAACCGACCAACCGAATGTTTACGTAGCAAAAAAGATTGAGAACCTCATACTCATGTAGGTGTGATGTTATGAACGAACAAATTGCCTGATGTTGATGTACTATTATTTCTAGCCTCAGATAAAATGCAAGCTAAACGTTCGTTGTCTATCTCTTCCGCGCGTTTTGTCCCATAATCAAAAGAGACTGTTTTCTATATATTATGAATACAAAGAACGATACTTTCAGGAAATACAGATAGTCTCCTTGCGCTGACTATGCTTGACGCCTTCCGATCCTAGATGTGCGATATAAATATACGCGCTTTTTACTGAGAATGTTCCGCCACTATTAGTAAACAAACTTCAGTTGTCATAAGGACCTTTCAACCCTTGCGACGTCTTAGTCGTCGAGTAGACGTATCAGACTACAGTTTCCGAAGTAAGGCAAAAAAGCGCGGTGAAACGCGACGAAAAGCACGAATACAACGCGTCCGCCAAGGCGCGGAGGGGAGAGCGGAGCAGCAAGTTGAAGCAACCTAATGGCCGCCGCGTCACGTGATTTGAAGATGGCAGCGCCCATGCGGGGGAGGATGAAATGGTCTATACATCAATTCAGTTTCTTCGCTAAATATAGCGTAAAATTTAGGTCACGTTACCTGACGTGAAGTGACCTTTACACAAATTTAGTTTCAACACTCAATATATCGGGGAAATACCGCCCGTGCTCGAGAGCGGTGTTGTACAGAACAGGAACGCGTTTCGTTTAGGAGGAACGTAGGAACACTGCGGTTGCAGTTTCCGTTGGCGGAGCTGGAACGGAAACTTGTTACGTTTTCGAGGGAACGGAAGAAGGAACGGCATTCCTTTTGCAGTTTCATCCCGCACAAATTTACCTAATCGAAAAACTAGAAAAAAAAAAATCGCAGATACTGCAGCAAAGTTTGTTCTGGAATGATACGCACAAAAGGAGGGTTGAACTGACATAAAAAAAATCTAATTGGGAATTGCTTTCAGTCCGACGGAAAACATTTTAACAAAATAAAGTAGCACTTGTCCTGTCTTGTCCTCTCTTGTCCTTTGTTCTTCGTGCTAATATTTTTACGACATAGAAATTGAAGACTTGCATTTTTAGTATCAATATTAAATGGCACATATGGCATTAAAAAAAGCTTATTTAAAAAACCGTACAATATTTGCAGATGAACCTATCATTGTTTTGAAGTAACAAAATACCGGGCCAGATCGAGCATGTAGGCCAATTTATTTCTTGCCAAGACCATCCAACAATGGAGCAAGGTGTCGGAGGAACAAATAAACTCTGCAACCGAAGCTTTTTTTTTCACTTTTGTAGTTTTTTTGCAGTAGCACCTTCGGGCAATCCGGGGTAACTTCTGAATGCAGTAAGAAAATAATGCAGTAAGCATACAGGTTTTTGATTAGCGGCTATTTCAACCCGTAAACTTCGATGGATGGAGAAGTGTCCGAGAGATATTCCAAAGCATAGAACTGGAACAAATGTGATTCTGAAGACTCGAGAAGTAGTTCGATCTGGATATTTTCACTTGCTTGTTGTATTCTTTTTGCGAATTGTATAATGTAAATTTTTGCTAATTGTATAATATTCAATATAAAAATAATGCAATGGCCTGTTCGATTTACGAATTATCCAGCAGAATATTTCCATAAAATACGCAAGTGTAACGTAAATGTAATTACCTGTTCCAGAAGAAACGTAATTGGAACGCGTTCCTTTTGGTCCATTGGATCTTGTAAAGGGAACTCGTTCCAAGATTCAGAACGAGCGGGAATCTAGCTTTCGTTCTTGTTTTACACGGAAGTGTAAATTCTTGAAAGTTAATAAAAGGGATCCCTTAACGATTTTCGAGCGTTTGCTCCCTTTCGGTTATTTACGTCCTTTGTGGTTTGGGAGAACTAAGAGAACTGGTACGAACCGCGAGATATTAATTTTTCCTATTTTACTTCGCCCAGACTAAAAAAAACTCTAACTGTACGGTGGCGCCAAGCAGTGTTGAACGCGCGCGGCTCGTGGCGTCATAGGCCAAGAGTTTTCCGATGGGCGAGAGCCGCTGAAATATTTTTGAAAGTGAAAAAAAGCATGTGATTTAGTAAACCTTCGTTATCCTTCCCAGAAATCATGTCTATAGGATTCATGTTATAGGAATCATGTTATAGGAATCATGTCTATAGGGTTCGAAGCTGGAAAAGAAAGATAAAAAGTCTTATAATATCGGAAACCAACAAAAACAACGCTTCTTCGACGTGGAGGCCTCTAACACTCTAAGAACAGAAAAGAAGAAAAAAAAAAGACCGTGTTTATACTTTTTCGCACAACACTCGGGCAGCCAATCACCGCCACTTTTGTAGGCCGCTTAGCGAATGACGATGCCGAAACATATGTTTAGGACAAAAACCCAGTCGGAGTTGTGACATTAGGCAATGCAAGCTTCACGTTTTGCATTGCTTAATATCACAACTCACACTCTAAAAAATGTTTGTGCGTCTACTTTCACGCACACCGCTCAGAGAGTCAATCGCCGCAACTTGCGGAGGCAGCTCAGCGAATAGCGATGCCGAAACATATGTTTAGACCTAAAAACGCAGTCCGAGTTGTTACATCAAGCAATGCAAGCGTGACGTTTTGCATTGCTTTATCTCACAACTCAGACTGCGTTTTTTGGTGTAGACATGGCTTTCGACGTCGTCATTCACTGAGCTGCCTCCGTAAGTGGCGGGGATTGGCTCTCCAAGTGTTGCGCGGGAAAGTAGACGCACGGGCTTTTTTAGAGTCGAGAGGCGTAGCAGGCGGCAACGGCGTATTTTACGCTGGCAGCCGACAAATGACACGCACAGACGGAGCGTATTGTGTGCTCTGTTGTGCGCTCTCGAGCAGCCGGGCCACCGGGCACCACACTGTGCATCCTACTCGCCAAGGCGGTTCCGGCAGCTCCGGTGGTGGAGTTGAGGGAGACGAACAAAGAGTGTCGTTTTCCTTGGCATACGAGGCGGACTGAGACGCGTTCTGCTCTCTCGTGGAGTGTCCTCATATTGCACGACGCCTTCATTTTTGACTCTCCTCTACAAAATTCGGAGCTCCACCGCCGATAGCCCCGTTGAATTCATCGGTAACGACAAACCCCGACCGGGCCGGGTAACTACAAGCGCGGCCACAGCCTCGCAGAAGCGGCCATTACCCTACTCGCAGCCGATTGGAGGCTCCTCGCTCAGATCCCTGAACGCTAGCCACTTGCGTCACAAGGCCAAATTTTCGTGCTTGCTTTTCTTTATATTTTGCAAATTCGAATTGCTAATAACTTTTTACATAAAGCAAATTTCAAGAAAGAAATGTTTCCTCCGTTTACTGAGCTTCGTTTTAACCCAAATTTAAAATCGTTTTAAAAATGGACAGAGGGTGGCTTTCAGCTACAACCAAATGGGTTTTATTCTATTTGATAAATCAGGTAACCTTACTTCAGCGACATCAAGAAATTACTGTCCTATTCAAAAAGAAAATTGTGTGCAATAAACATTATTTTTTGCAACTAACACTATTTATGTTGGCTGCTCAAAACATTTGCCCTGTGTATGCATATTTAACAACGAGTGGATGCCATGATTCGAGAAATGAAAAGCAAGCTACAATTATAGTGAGCGACGTCTAAGAAAATAAACAATCGGAACAAGATTGAGCCTACTCTAAAGGAATAAAGTGATTAATACGTCAAAAATAGCATAAGAGCACGGCACAATCGCAACTTGCAAATATACCATACAGCTCGTTTCATTTCGGATTACAGGCAATGGGTTATCATAATTTTACTGTTTCGTGTTTTGTTTAACAGTAATTCGCTCTTGTTCCCCTAGGTGTTTAAATGTGTGCAAGATCCCACCATGATACTTTTCACCATATGTTTTTAACCAGCTTACCTCCTTGAAGATGGGGAGACCTGAGAATGTTGCAAATTGGTTGGTTGTACACCTCGTAGAAGTCAAGATAATCTTGTCCTTCCACTGGTGTGGTGGTTTTCGGTTTATCTTTATCCTCAGAAGTTCCGTCACTCACTGTGTACAAATATAACATCAAAGCATACAGATATGCACCCTCTTTAGGCAGAAACATTTTCAACATTCGTCGAGCATAAAACCTGGACTTACACATTTGCCAGATGGGTTTGCTTGATGTGTTACAGGAGTAGTCGCCATACTGTATGTACATGTTACTCCCCAAAGGTCTAGGGGTCGCACTTGGAGCGCTTCCTGTGAAGATTTATTAAAGCAATGTTTCCTTATAATATTTATACTCAAATATTATTCTGCGCTGTAAAATATCCTAACCTAGAGAAAGAAAAACGACGTTTATATTTGAAACGTGGTTAAATTAATGAGGTTTTTGTTCGGGAAATGGTATTTTTAAGACTAAGAGACGTTAAGTCATGTCCAAGGTAAGTAACTACACATTTAAAACAGTAAATACTTTGTTACTCTGAGACCATACGCGTACTTCCTCTCGTAGACAGTATGTAGAATACTCCGTATAAAATGAATCAAAGCTAAAGCTCATAAAATTGACTTTCTTTTTTTTTTAATTTTGCAAAGATCTTAGTTATTCACGCGACGCCCTATGTTTTCCACATATCTTTGTTAACGACCATGAGTCATACAAACGCTCTTCCAGATTGAAAAAGAAGAAATTAACCACATAGGCGGCAAAGTCACCTGATTAAGATTATGTGAACGTTTATATTGTCACGTTGTTCTGGGACCAAGGAAGGAGACGTCCGCTTGCGGTTCCGCTTTTAATTGGAAACTGAGCGCCACCGCCAAGAGCCGGTGGCTCGTACCCATGGCGCCGAGACAGCCCGTCGTGTCCTTCCTCGTACTAATATTTATATTTATAGTATGGCGTTGCCATTAACAAAGCTATGAATGGCGGAGTGTGCTGTGCAACCGCTGTCACAAGTTGGTGAAGAGGATTTACCTTTTTAACGTACATCATCAACGTTCATTTCACTAGAATTAATTTAATGCCCAAGATTTCTTGAATTAAGGTTCGCGATAGCTATATGAACCGGGGAATTCTCTCCAATCAGATACTCCCCCAAAGTAGGTTTCCAGAAATATGTTTCTCCTTATATTTATTCCGCTAAAATATATCTTTCAGATGTCTTCATTTCGTAAACCTCATGTCATCCAAGTGACTATCCTAAAGGCCTTTCTAAACTGTAATCACTGGGCTCATGGGTTAGTGAAATACCGTGTGATGTGCGTCATACCACTGTTATGCTTCCTCCCCTTTTAAAAGTGGGAATATTTTTTTACTAAAAATAAATTTCAGTGTGAACCTTCTGTAGCAAAACGTTCACACTGCCGCTGAGAGAACTGTTGATTGAAGCCCTTCAAGTAACCATTAAACTAACAAATAAATCTTGGTTGGAATCGGTGTCATTCGCTTGTTTTTATTCTGGGCAGCCGACTCTACCAGGTACTGTACGAGTCCCTCGCATTTACCGTACATGCGCTGATGTATTTCAGACCCATTAAGAACTCTATGAACACGTAGTAACGCCGCCTTTGAGTACATTTTATGTACCACCTGAAAATGCTTGGAATAATATTTTTTTTTTTACTTTATTACTGTAACAATCAATAAACAGATAACTACCAAAATTAAAAATATTCTCTTCACTGTTCCACCTCTTACTTTATTGAGAGGAACTATTGTTTTTATTTCTCGATATAAGAAACTACGAAATATCTTCTAAATATTTTAACTTCAACTTTTGTGAAGTAATCTCATCTGAGCTAGCGATCATAACTATCATTATTTTGATCTACATTTTTCGCCAAAATTCAGCCTTCACCGCGGGATTTTTATCTGTGCTAGAAATTGGCCACCGTCAAACCATTTCACGCAAGATTTTATACGGCCATAAACAATCATCTGTCGCACTATGTGTTTGTTACGTGCATATGAAATATCGGTTCCCTAAAGAACGGCTTATATTAAACGCTTTGTGATAAGTTACTGGATTCAACTTTTAATTTTATTACTGAAGCAGTTCCATTACCTGATAAAAATAAAATTATTTTAATGATATACCAGGCCAACATTATGTTTTATGCGAAACTCAACGATATAAACGCCTACCTCATGTGCAACAACAATATCTGCAGTAAATATTATTGCGCTTTGCCCTGCGCTATTTAATAAATGGGGATCATTCCTGATATTTTGGCCAAATTATAAACAATCCAGAACACATGTTTTAGAGACCTCTGCCAAGATGCATGCTCCCAGATATATTCGTTCCTATCACCGAGGAAAATTATATTCTTTCTGAGCGCATTGGTATTTCTTCATTATAAACATTTTAGGGGCTCCGGTTTTTTGTTTTGTTTTAGAGCGCAGCTCTTTTATAGCGCCCGCTTCCGGCTTGAGCGCCGTCGGCGTACCCGCGCGGTGCATAATGGCTAAATTTCCACGCTAAATTTAGCGGAAAATTTTCCCCGCTAAATTTAGCGGAAACTTTGTCCCGCTAAATTTAGCTGAACAAAATTCCCCGCTAAATTTAGCGGAAATATTTCTCCTAAATGGCAAGCAAGCAGGAAAGGAGGAGGGTCATAGCCTCCTCTCTGTACCTTCTCCTCCTCCTCCTAAAGAGCTGCGCTCTAATTCGGCTTTACAGGGGATTGCAAACATCTTTCATTTTTTTGCCTAGATTTGGTACAAATATAAGTACATTACATCTTTAACTAATATTTTGCAGAACTCAATCATGGGTTACATACCCTTCAAGCCTGCACGTATTACATTTTCTTTGCCGTAGTCGAATTGCTTTAATGCTCTGACTTGGTATTCTAAAGTCGTCCTGAAAAAGAATGTAAATTGGTCAGAGTTCGCAATTATTACCGAGTCTCACAGCACATTATACCTTTTCTAAAATGCGATAGCTTTCATAATTACATATTCTCATTGTCTGAGAACCTTTCAGCGTTCGTTGCTTACTTTTCATCTTACAATTTCTAAATGCGTAATACACGCTCTCCATAGAAATTAATAATAATATAGTTCTGCGACTGCACTGAATGCCTTTGAAAAAAAAACATTTGTAACCTGTTCAAATTAATATATATTTGTCGTTGGGTAACCATATTCCGACACTCGTTACTGCTACGGCACCCGAGTAGGTAAAAGTCCTCAGATTACTCTATGTACCTAAATAATACTCTGAACTTTCACCACAAATAATACGAACCACGAAATTAAGCACGTGAAAAATATGTTGAACAATAGTAATGTGACGTAGAGAAAATTGACAAGCAAAATGGGGAAAAAAGCACAAAAGAAATTGAACCTTTTTTTTATACAGTGACGACTTTATGCGCACGCCGCATATGCTCATGTTGCAATCAAAATGTATATGAGACCACACTTTAAATAAATTGAAATTAATTTATTCAAACATTTAATACTCGATCGATAGAAACCAAATGTTTTATATCTGGTTGTTTTTTTTTGTTTTTTTTACTGTTAGTAGCATTGTCTGGTTATCTTTGAAAACATGCAAGATCTGTGTGTTTTAAGAAAAATTTGGTAATAATAGATATCTAATTCCCTAGAAAGTAGTGAATAACGTTTTTTTTCCATTTTTGCAGTTTGGAGGCACAACGTAGTTATAGAACAGACCAGACCTACTGCTAAATTACCCTAGCATCAAGAAGAATGCAGGGCATGGTGTTCCACGCGCCGCACGTGCCGGGGTCTGCAGCAGTAACTGTTCTAAAGCAAAAGCCTAAAACAAAAGGCATCTAGAACGCGCGTTTACCAATGCTTTATTGTGGCTATTTACTTCGAATCTTTTATACGTGGAAGGTGTGCGCGTGCGGCGCGTGGAACACCATTCACGGCATTATCCTTGACACTTGGGTAAAGTTAGCAATAGGTCTGTAGATGCTCGACCTCAGAGCCGTATATGTATAGTTTGGCCATTTATCGGGAACTGTAGGAGACAAATGAAGAGGCGCCATTGGCCGAAAGCGGGCTTGGCGTGTTCACCTTATTGTTTCACACATTATAATCACCTTAATTACCAATCACCTTATTGTTGAACACATTATTATTCTACAAACAATTTGTCACTTAATTTTTTAAATACCGCGACCAAAACTTCTAAGCATACCAAAATGCAGCCATATTTCAAAGCAGTTTAGCAGCGGAACAGACACCGTTGAAAGCTTCTAACATCATAAAACATCAATATCAATTTAGCAGCAGAACGTCATAAAATATTGAACGTCAAGCACCGAGTACAAGCTTTGATATCTTTACATTCGTGTGAGTTATTTCGAAAGCTTTTGTGTATCGCCTGATGTCTAGGAATTACCTCAGGTGTGGTCACCGACGGCTGCCCGATGTGGGATTCAGCCTACTCTAATTCGTCGAACCTTTAAGTGGTGCCGAAAGGAAATGTTTTTCACTTACTTTTTTGTCTGGATGTGGTCTATGTTGTGTCGGCAGCCCAGAAACACTAGCCTAGACGAGTGTTCCAGGGCTGCAGGCGCATAAGTCAGGAGAACTTATATTAAAACGAATGAACAGATTTGGAAATTGCGTCTGGTTGCGGTTTGTGAAGCTCCGTTGGAATGCCGCGACGACATGAGTTCCTAAGAAGCAGCGTCAGTTCGCACGTGGAGTTAGTTAGTCTGAATGTGAGTTGGCGGAGAACACTAACGGCGTTTACTACACTCCGTTCACTCATAAGATGAGACAGCAGCCAAAGCTGCAAGCACGAGCTAGCCCGCCCTCCTGGCTTTGAGACAGGCATTTTTAGCGCGAGCGCTCGTTCTGCGGAGGAACGCTTCAAACCAGTGACCTTGTGCTATCGCCCTCAGATGCTACAATTAGGCGAGTTTGTCACGCGTTGACGCTACCAAGCAGCAAGGCGCGCAACAACAGCGTCTTTGACCGTGCATCAATCATTGACGTCAGGAGCGCGATAGGCATTGCGCTTCTCGCTGGCCGACTTTGAAGCGAGGGGTAGAGAGCTCGCGCTCACGTCATTTTGTTTCCGTACCCCTTCAAGCTGACATTGCAGCCAATGAAGAAAACACGAAAGCACAAGGTTGTGACTTTAAAACGTTCTTTCGCAGAACGAGTGCCCGCGCCAGTAGGGCGCTTCTCAAAGTCAGGAGTATACGGGGTGTACGCCCTTCACCTTTAACCTGAGACTCGAAGCTTCTCCTTTAGCACAAGCTTTCTTCCCTTACTAGCAGAAGTGTGAACGGGCGGGCACGCGCAACCGAAGCACTGCGGAAGCCAGCGAGCTCGCGCTGAAGGCTGAGCTTTTATAATCCGTTCACACTTGAATTGAGACTAGAAGCTCCCGCTTCAGCGCGACCTCATCGGCTTCCGCAGGGGTTTGGTTGCGTGTGCCTGCGCGTTCACACTTGTGTTAACCAGGGCAGAAAGCTCGCGCTGAACGCGGAGCTTCTAGTCTCAGCTCAAAGGGGAACGGAGTATAGTCTCAGCTCAAGGGTAAACGGAGTATAGCTCGCGCTCCTAACTTTGGCTGTAGTCTCAGCTTAAGTGTTGACTGAGTATACTATACTCCGTTCGCCTTTAAACTGAGACTGCAGCCAAAGCTACAAGAGCGAGCTAGCCCACGCTCCTGGCTTTAAGACAGACATTTCTAGCGTTAGCGCTCGTTCTGCGGAAGAGCGCTCCAAAGCAGCGACCTCGAGCCCTCATGCTTCTGGCTTCGGCTGCATCCCCAACTTAAGAAGGAACGAAGGAAACCACAGAAACAGCTCCGTTTTTACAGCGAAGCTGTTTATTACTAGGGTTCCGTAATTTTTAATGTGCGTCAATAAAAACTAAAGAGGGCTTGCACCGCCCTCTGTTTGTCGTCGTTTCAAGCGCTTGCGTGCCTAGTTTCCTTCCGCCGAGTGGTCGTCCCGTCCCTCGTGTCTAGTTTCCTCTGGCTCCTCGGGGTGGCGATAAACCCTGACTAGTGTGCAGGGGCGGATTTAGAGGGGGGGTCCGGATGTCCTGGCTCCCTTCTTGATTTTTACATGTGTAAAATTAAGGGCGTAAAACAAGGGAGAGGGGGAGGGGCTTCCTAAACATATGGCACGCTGACCATCACCTGACCCCCCCTCAGGAAATTTCTGCATCCGCCCCTGCTAGTGTGTGCGCACCTTTCGTCACGATGACCATCGATCAAAACAATAAATATGTTCGTACCTTCGTGCAATATTTTTGTCACGTCTGTGTCGTGTGCTAAACAGCTTCGCTGGTAATCCACCTTGACATAGTGGAATGGTTCATGATTTTTGTTTTGTTCTATTTTGTTTGAAGTGGACTATCCGTTTCGTATCAATAACCTGAAACCTGATGTCGAACAGCGGCTTAAAAGGTCAGTATTTGTTTTATGTCCACTGGTTGTTTTTAAAGTGCAGGGCGGTAATGGTGAACGTCCTCCTCGCAAAATCACATCTTCGGTGACATTCTAGTAGATTCGATCTACTGTTTCGCTTGATGTAGAGCTAAAACTACCGCCGTATGTATCGCCTCCCCATTATGCGGTGTGCAGAATTTATTGTTTGAATCTGCTCTTTCATTGCGGTCGGACGGTGGTAGAAACATCAACGAGGGTCAAGCTTAAAGGGATTGTCCGGTCAAATTTTGTATTCGAGAAAACAACTGAATATCATTGTTATTGCCTCGAGACGCATCGTACGTGCACTATCTGAATTTTATGTGCCCTTCTGCGTGAGTAATTGAATTTATACTGCTCCAATCGCGTTCTAGCGTAAACGATGCTTTCGTTGGCAACATTGAGGCTCTGACGTCACACAACACAAAGCGAGCATTTCTGTCTCGTCGTTTGCCTGCGAGTGAACGCCTCAGCGTGCTTCGTTTTTGGTCGTTGTGCTCGACTTGTTTCGTGGTTGAGTGAGATTTTTGTAGCGCGGTTGGGTGCCACAACCACCGGGCAGCACATGCGACCCAAGACATGACGTTCCACACTTTTCAGCGAGACGTGAAGTGACGAGCAAAATGGATCGTCGCCGTGCGTATACGGTCTAGGTTCCCGTCAAGATCGAGATCCCGCTTATGCAGCAATCATCTCACAGAAAAGAGCTACGAGCTGAGCTCTAAGCGGACAGAAGGCTCGTCAGCTGAGATGTGATTCTGTGCCAACGATACTAAACTACGTCCGTCCACTCCTCGCCCAAACCGGATCAATCAATTTGATTATGCAGCGAAACCGAAACCAACAGCTAGGCCGTCTGGAAACGATACCAGAAGTTATATTTAGCACGCGTGCAGCCAAATTTTGTTTGACCCGCATGTGAAAATAGAGCGTGGCTACGATTCACCAAGCTCGTCCAAGTCAAGTGACGATATGCATTTGAACGGTTCGCCGTTTGCCTTCGACCCGCGAACATCGCCTCTGAGGAGCGACCCGTAGCCTCATCACCGATCCAGTGGGTCCGCCGATACGTGTATTCAGATGTCACTTTGTGTACCTCGGTGCCGCTTCAGAGGCGAAATCTGCATCCTTTGCTTTGCAAGCGCTCCTAGTTCGTTCGGTGGTCGTCTCAGTTGCACGAAACGGCATACGTTTGGTTAAAGCTTATTACTGTTTTCGAGTAATATCCTGCTAAAAGACGTGATTTTTTTTTGCACATGCTTGGAAATGACAATAAAGGAACAGTATTTCAGTAGGGCACAGCCTAGCAGACTATATAATTCGAAACAAAATACAAGACATCCATCGACAAACGCTTGTTTTTTCCGACCATCTGACAAATCTTTGCGTTTTGTGATGTCACGCAGCAGGTACTGATGTCAGCCTTTGGCACTGGCGAAATTCAGGGTGCAGTCTCGTACATACGCTCATGAAAGGTTTAATTAATAACGGGAGATCATGTACCAAAATAAAACTGATGTTTGTCTACATGAAGGCTAAATCGGCGTAATGAGCGCAAAAGCTTAAGTACTTCCGGTTTCGACCGGACAATACCTGTCTGAAAGCTTCGCAATGCTATTCATCGCTTGCAAAGCCAAACATCAAGTAAACACCAAGTTTCGGTCAATGAACAATCTTGCGGTATTTGCAAGCGGTTGGAAAACATTGCTCAGACAGTGGTTACCAAGACACTGTCCAACAGGTGTCATCCGATCTAGCAGGGACTGAAGAGCGAAGTAGACGGAACTTGTTAAAGGAAAACCTGGGTCCAAATTGAAACCAAAATAAATGACTGGTCACAGCCGAAATATTACTTCAAAGTAAAGCCGCGCACTCCACTAAAACTGATTTTAAAGATACGACCAGCTGCTCTTTAGTAGGCACGAGCGGGTTAGCTTTTAGTCAAGGAACACTGATGCAGCTCCACCGTAATGTCACGTGGAGTCGGAGCTGTGGTTGATTCCACACGGTGTACCGTGTACCTAGCACCATGGTGACGTAACGTCACGGCCGTACCGCTGATGATCAGTGTTGCCATCCCTGTGGCAGATAGTTTCGGTTTCGCCATAGACACCCGAAACCAAAGTTTGAGTCATAATATAAAACTACACGCAATATCAAAAAAAAAAAAAAAAATTATACCTTGTAAAGCAGGTAACGTTTCGGTGTCCGTTGAAGATTATTTTAAATGAAAATCACAACATGGGGGGGGGGGGGGGGGGGAGAATGCAAAGCACCAAATAAATTGCGCTATGCCGTTCATTACTAGTTCGCGATAAAATATTAAAAATTGCCCCACATTTTTTATTAAATTGTGCTGAGTTTCTTTTTTTTTTTAAGTACACTATTTAGAAGTTTAGTACCTTGAACGGCCACAGTTTAGAATTCAGTAGATTCTGCCCCTTCACACAACCGTCATGAAATAGTTTTTTCATCTTGCCACCGACCAGCAATGGGCAAAATACATGCAAATATGTATCGAAATGCAAATACAAAATACTTCGTCAAAAATGTATTTAATTACAAATCTAATTACTTTTCCAAAAAAACATTTAAGTACAAGATACAAATACAACCATATGTATTTGGTCTCCTCCAAATACTTTTCCAAATACTTCCTCAAAATTTGCGTCAGCGACTTCAGGGCACCTGCAACGGGTTTCTGGGTATCTCATTTTAATTTTGCATCGCACACTCGGGAGTTAGTGTGCGAGGCTCTAGTGACGTAATAAAAATAGAATTAAAAAAAATGTAATCAGCTTAGACGTAATAGGTGAAAAAAGTACAGAGCTTCAAGCAGCTTTTTTTGTCGATTACATTTTGGTATAGACCAACAAAGAACCGAGACGACCAAGACGCGCAGCACTAAGTAGAGAATTTTTTATTGTTGCAACTCGCACCAGTTACGAAAATCTGGACGACCCGCGCATTTAGAATGTTCCAGGCAAAAATATGGATGGAAATCAAGCTGGAAAGCATCACAAGTTGTCACAGGCACTTATTTAGCCAGTCTGCCTGTGAACGTCGATTTCGTCACTATTCTTGCCCTGGACTAGCACCGTAATCACAAAGTCACTAAACGCTTGTGCTTAATCGAGAGACACTGCATTCGGTGCAGGACGTAGCTTTCTTCCTGCTCTGGACAGTGCCTTTAAAGTAAAGCCGGAGGAGAAAGAGAAAAGAAGCCCCATGGCCGAATAAAGGATGGAGACTATATCTTATAACCACATGTAAAAATACAAGATGTATTTTCGCCCACAAAATTGTATTTAATTACAATTGTATTTGAAATACCCACGTTTTAGTATTTAAATACACACGTCAAATACTTTACCCAATTTGTAATCAAATACAAATACAAAATACACAAAGTATTTGAAATACGTATTTCAAATACTTGTACTTGAAATACTGCCCATCCCTGCCACCGACTATTATAATCTATAGAAACAACCATTTTCCAAAGTAATATGAATGTCCTTAAAGTAAAATAATTTAATGAAGCCTTTAAAATGTTCGTTTAATAACATGTATATTTCGACTACTTACTGATTGCCTGAAGTCATGTTGATATATGTTCTCGTGTAATTGGCAATTTTTAGCGTTTCGTTATATACAGTTGATTTTACTTTCACACAAGTGATATTTGGTTCGTAATCCTTTGAACGAAACAGCAGTACATATGTATCATTTCGTTCAAGAGCCTGAAAAACAAAATTTGTAGCGCTCAATATTAAAGAACACACACAATTTTTATTAGGTTTCAGTTACCCTTTATTTGACCGAAACTTGAAAAACGGTGAAGGCCATGGAACCAATGAGCCAATCAGTGCTTTGGAATAAAGCACGTGAGAACGTATTGTCGGAGAGCACATCTGCTGTGACGTCTGTGACGCCCTTCGCTGTGTTTCTCTGATTACATAAAAAAACAACCTTACCGCTCGCTTTTTTTAAGAATTTTGAAGCGAAATATATAAATATCCAGGGATGCAGGCAGAAATCTCAGCACCCACTGATGCTACAAAATTTTTCACATATTTGTTACCCCTACACTAAACCGTTAGGTATTTCTCTGCACTGCCTAAAAGCAATGATATTTATATATAAATTAAGCTAAACAATATATAGGTAATTTCATTTCAAATCGTGCAAGAAAAAGACCATGGGTCCTCAAAAATTTCTGAAAAAAAAAAATATGTTGGTGGAAATTGTGTGAATAGAAGAAAACAACAATATTGAACTACGGGAAATTTGTGTTCTTGAGTTTTGGGCTTCGAAAAGGCAGAAGGTAGGTCTTCCGAGAGGATCCTCTGAGCGCTGCGTGCCAACGCCGAAGCAGAAACGTCCGAGGCGCCGAGAGGATCAGTGGGGTCCTCGGCTGTTTGTGCTCTGCCGCGGGCACGCAGCGCCATGGGGTGGTGCTAATTGAAACTGACGCGCGGCGGCTTCATATCACAACTGTTTTGCGCGGATTTTTGCGTGGTTTCAAAGCTCGGATGCCTCAGATCGTGGCTTTGGGAATTTATCTGCCGTTTGGCGCGGCTGATGACGTCTGCTCGCTCCATGGGACAGTCAATGCTTTCGCGTTAATATTGTCACGAAGGACAAGTGATGAGGCGGCGAATAAAGCCGGGAACACATTTGCGAAAAAGAGTCGAATTTTGTGCGAAAACCGCACAAGAAAATCGCACGGCCAGCTAGGCTCCTCCCCTTTTCCGAAAATCGGGAGCGGTTCGAAAGATCTGCAGTGCCAGATATTTTCGCACGGCGCCTCCGAATTCGGGGCGGAGGAGCTCGGTGAGCGAAAGCCCGGAACAGGACGGAACGAAAAGATACGATCGGCTCGCAACATGGTGGCTCACGCAGCTTCAGAAGCAGCGCAGGCAACATCGTATGCCATCCCTGCGTTCTTATCTCAACATTACTCTTGCAAATAAAGATTATTATTATTATTATTATTATGAGGAAACCAGTTCAGTCTCTGTCTCAAAGGGTGGTGGTACAAATGCTCGCGTGGCATTCAACGAGGTTTTAACAGCTGAAGTTCTTAAGAGGCGCGAAATATGGGAATCCAGTTCGCCAGACTACCGAACAGGAACAGCCTCCTGAAGTCGGAGCACAAACACCGCAGTGCATTGCGATTTCCGCGCCGCGCGTTTCACCTCATCTGGCTCGTCTTCCGAAAATCGCAAGCTACGATTTTCGCAGCCTCCGATTTCTCTCCGATTTTCGGTTCGTTTTTTCGCAAATGTGTTCCCGGCTTAACGGAGTAAACTGAACGTTTAATCGGGCGAACTTGTGCCCAAAAAGTAAAAGGGGAAAGAAAGATAACAACAGAGCGTGGCGGGCGTCGAAGGCGGCGAAGCAGCAAGTTCGAACGCTGAGGCGAAACTGACTCGACAAGGTCGCGGGCGGCCTCTTATCTAGAGTGCGTCGCTATCTCGAAGATTCGGCGAAAGCGGCTCGAGTGTTGCGTGATCGGGGCGAGAATGAACACGCACTTTCTACAAAACAAAAGCAGGAATAAATGATATAAGTTACGTGCGGTACATGAATAAACGAGAACTTTCTGGAGGTTCCGGATCGAGCGTTGCTTTCTCAGCCCTGCGCGCGGCATTATCCCCCTCTTTAAAAGTGCATCGTCCCGATGCAGCCCAAAAAACGGAAAACAAAAAAGAGACCCCGCGAAACGGGATCCCGTACAAGTACGGACGGAATTTGGTTATCGCCCAGACGACAGCAAGACATTCTTTGTCGATCGTTGAATAATTTTGTTCTGCCTTGGACAGCGCCCGGCTTGCGTAAGCGATTACCCTCTCTGCCCGTTCTCGTCGCTGAACGAGTACCGCACCGAGACCGGTATTGCTGGCGTCCGTGTGGATTTCAGTTTCCGCCGACTGGTCAAAATGTCCGAGGATAGGGGGCGACTGGAGCCTTCGCTTGAGTTCGTCGAACGCTTGCTCTTGCTCCTCTCCCCAATGGAACTGCACATCGTCTTTCGTCAGATGCGTCAGCGGTGCAGCAATTTGCGCAAAGTCACGAACGAAACGTCTGTAATAGGCGCATAGCCCAAGGAATCTTCGAACGGTCTTCTTGTCTGATGGCTTCGGGAACCCGACGACAGCGGACGTCTTGGCGGGATCAGGGCTTACACCCTGAGCACTCACGACGTGGCCCAAGAATTTCAGCTCACCATAGGCAAACCGACACTTAGAAGGCTTGAGGGTCAGCCCAGCAGCTTTGAAGGCCTGTAGCACGGCTCGCAGTCTTCTCAGGTGTTCATCGAATTCGCTTGCGAATACCACAACATCGTCGAGGTAGACGAGACAGCTTTGCCATTTCAAGCCGGCAAGGACGGTGTCCATAACGCGCTGGAAGGTTGCCGGCGCTGTGCACAGCCCGAACGGCATTACTTTAAACTCATACAGTCCGTCCGGCGTGACGAAGGCCGTCTTCTCACGATCTCGTTCGTCGACCTCAATCTGCCAGTACCCGCTCTTCAAGTCCATCGACGAAAAGTATCGGGCGTGGCGTAGCCGCTCCAGGGTGTCGTCGATGCGTGGCAGCGGGTAGACGTCCGTTTTAGAGCCCAGCTCTTAGGGGCCCGTTTCCGGCTTGAGCGGCGTCGGCGTAACCGCGCGGTGCATCATGGGAAATGTCCCATAATGCACCGCGCGAGCCCCCCCCCCCCCGGGGTCACGTGACCTCGTGGGGGGCACGTGACCCCCCGAGGTCACGTGACCCCGGTGCATCATGGGAAATGTCCCATAATGCACCGCGCGAGCCCCCCACCGGGGTCACGTGACCTCGTGGGGGGCACGTGACCCCCCCGAGGTCACGTGACCCCCCGAAGTCACGTGACTCCCCTGAGGTCACGTGACCCCCGCCGATGTCGCGTGACCCCCCAATGACGTCATCGTCACTGATGACGTCACCGGCATCCACATCGTCATCGTCATCATCACTGATGACGTCAACATCACTGATGACGTCACCGACATCCACATCGTCATCGTCATCATCACTGATGACGTCACCGGCATTCACATCGTCATCGTCATCATCACTGATGACGTCACCGGCATCCGCATCGTCATCGTCATCATCACTGATGACGTTACCGACATCCGCATCGTCATCGTCATAATCACTGATGACGTCATCAGTGACGTCACGGATGTCGTCACCGGCATCCACATCGTCATCGTCATCGTCACTGATGACGTCACCGGCATCCGCATCGTCATCGTCATCATCACTGATGACGTCACCGGCATCCGCATCGTCATCGTCATCATCACTGATGACGTTACCGACATCCGCATCATCATCACTGATGACGTCACCGACATTCGCATCGTCATCGTCATCATCACTGGTGAAGTCATCAGTGACGTCACTAATGACGTCATCGGTACCCGCATCGTCATCGTCACTGATGATGTCATCAGTGACGTCAGCGACGACATCATCGGCATTGGGGGTCACGTGACCCCCAAGGTCACGTGACCCCCCAAGGTCACGTGACCCCAACTTGGTTAGTTTAATCCCCCCCCCCCAGTGCCCTTCCCTCCTCCTCCTCAAGAGTTGCGCTCTAATTCGGCGTTACAGGGAGTTGTAAGCAGCTTTCACTTTTTTGTTACGGCGTTCAGTCGGCGATAGTCCACGCAGAACCGGAGTCCCGTCTTTCTCTTTTACCAGGACTACTGGTGAAGCCCACGGACTGCTTGAGGGCTGGACAATGTCGTCGTCAAGCATTTCTTGTACCTGCTGCTGGATGGCTTCCCTTTCTTTCACGGAGACCCTGTACGGCGGCCGATGCACAGGGAGTGCGTCGTCATCAGTAATTATCCGATGTTTCGCAACCGTCGTTTGGCGCACCTTCGACGACGCGGAGAAGCACTCACTGGACTTGGTGAGAAGGTCACGCAGTTGTCGCCGTTGTGGGGCTGAGAGGGATGGGTCGATGTCAAGCTCTGAGGACGTGATTGTCTTGTTCTGCGTCGGAGAGGCGTCTTCTGAGATCACGGCGATCGCGGCTGAGTCTTGAATTTCCTCGACGTAGCCCACAGCTGTACCCTTTTTAAGGTGCTGCGACTCTTGCCGGAAGTTGGTGACAAGGGCTACGGTACGCCCGTCCTGGAGCTCGGTTACGCCTCTTGCAATGCCAATCCCTCGTCCGCGGAGAAGTTGGACGCTTCCTTCCAGCAGCGCTACACCGCAGGTGGCTCCTTCGGTCCCGACGGGCACGAAGACACTCGACAGCGGCGGCAGGTTTACGTGGCTGGCGAGGACTCGCACTGCAGCTAACGTCGGTTTGGTGTTTTCTACCGATGGGACAGGCTTCCGAAGCGTCAGCTTGTTCTCCGCAAGGTCGATGATGGCGCCGTATTCACACAGGAAGTCCATTCCGAGAATGACGTCCCTCGAACAGTCTTGCAGAACGACGAACTGCACAGGGCATGTTTCGCTGTGAATCTCGACGCCAGCGGTGCATCTCCCGACTGGTGTAATCAGGTGTCCTCCGGCGGTTCTTATTTGTGCTTCATCCCACGGCGTCATGACTTTTCGAAGGCGGTGGGACAGCCTCCCACTCAAGACTGAGTAGTCTGCTCCGGTGTCCACGAGTGCCGATGAGTCGAGGCCGTCAATAACAACGTTTAGGTTGTTGGACACCGAAGCAGGAGCGTCGTTGTGATGCGTA